CGGTTACAACACGATAATCAATATCTGTATATAAAGGTCCATCACCAGCTAAATCTTTATCATAAAATTCTCCATAAAGTATTAATAAAATATGAATTATCAATGATACAATTGCATGAACAATCAATGATGCCATTTGAAAAATGAAATGAAAAAAAAAAATGTATATGACTTTGTTTGATTTGATTAAAGGTTATATTTGATAGACGCCCTCTATACTATTTGATTGGCCTAACAGCTATCAACAGATAAACATATGAGTGCAAAGTAATGTTTGCACACTTCACTTGGTATCAATTAAATAAAAAAAAATTTCTAATAGCAAGTTATAAAACATCTATTGTTCATGATATAAATGTTAGTTCACACTATCCCGAATAAAAGAACTATCTTAGTATCTAAAATAGTTCTAATAGTAAATGTAACTTATTGTATCATTTAGTGTTCATTTAGCAAGTGTTCCACTATATTTCATTATATTTTTTATCATGATATTGAAGTTGGTGTTCCATTTTCTGATGTATGAATAATATAAGAAGTTAGAACAATTTTTAATAGTAGGAAACATAACCCCCCAGCGTTACTGCATATTTACTATAGAACACCTGTTGAACGAATACCGGTTTATTTTTTCATTAATCATCTTTTTTGCTATTGTAACATGTATTGAATTAAAAATAATCTTTTTCTCAATATATATCCATAATATAGTTTTTCATCTTAGTTTGTTTATTATTTGAGAATTTATTAACCTAAAACTGTAGATTTAATTTAGGCTGTTTATTATAATACATAAATCTATATTTTGTTGGTATTAATATTATAGATCACTATTCAATGAAATCTATGCTTGTTAAGTTTTCTCCTTTGACAAGATTATATTTTTGTTCTAAGAGAGTATTTTTCAAAATATCTTTGTTCGAAATTAGTGAAAAACATATTTCAATCGTAAACAGTTACAGATGCCATGAATTGATTGATAAATAATAAAAAAATGACTTGAAACACTTGTTATTTTTTTTTTCAAAATTTATTGGTAATTTGTTGATTCATTGATTAAATGTAATAATAGATTCTTATAGAGTTCTATGATCTCTTGTATGTTGCATGCTTCTGTCTCTATTAATTTAACTATTATTCGATAATATAATCAAGAACGAGAGATTTATTTTCTTTTTTTGTTGATTTAGTTCATATTTTCTTATTCAATGATTAAAAGCTTCATTGAAAATAAAAGCCTGTTTAAAAAGCAGACACGGTACTTAATATTACAGCTAAATGTGTTTCTTTATCTTGTCGATCAAATGCTTTTTCATTACTTTTATATGAGATAATTTTGGTTTTATATCCCATATGGAAAAGAAAAGGTCGCCATAAGCGTAAATAATGCTAGAAATCGAGGTTCTGTTAATTCTAACTGATTGCAGTCAAAATTGACTATTTCGTCTGGATTTTCTATAAACAACTGCTTCATTAGAAAATAACACAACTACGAAATTCATTATTCTTCTTCTTTTTCTTTTCCAACGAATGAATCATCAATTTGAAAAAGAAAAGATCGATATACTTTTCTTTTTTTCATGTCGTATTTAGAATTATTTTCAGCAAATGTCTGTTAATGCTACGACAATCTCGTAGAGTTTTTGTTCTTCTTACTTATGAAAATAAATCGAGAGTTATATTTTGAAAAAAAAAAAAAATGTTATTCTTAAAAGTTCATGGTTGATGTACAATCTGATAAGACATAATCGTACGTTGCTCCAAAAAATAAAACAATTCAATGAGCAACATTCCGCCGCTACTGATTAATATCAACAGAAAATAAAGAATCGAGCTGAAATGAATTTTCTTTACAAACGAGATTTTATCGTTATTCTTCGACTTGTGTATTAGCTTGATGATGAGCAGAAAGTTATTCACTTTGATCTATCTTATTTGTCTTCGTTTAGTATATGAAAATTCTTTAAAAAACAGAAAATAATTAGCCGACATTCTGCACTGGATAGACATTAGATAACCACCATTTTTCTCTCTCTCTCTCTCTCTCTCTCGTTTTGTTCTATTATATGCCTGTCGAACTTATCAGTAAAAGCGATCATCATCCTATAAATACATTGGTGGTGCTTCTCTGCTTGTTGTCGCCTGCTTCATTTTTGTAACAAGAGCTTATCGAAGCATACATATAAATGTACGGTGCATTGACTTGAAAGATCAATAGAAAGTGATAACAAGATAATGTTCTGTGATTAATATTTTTCTTTGAGATGATCATTATGATTATTAAGTCTTCTTTTGTTAGAATAAAATATAAAAATATCATTTATATTGAACTAAGTGAATATTAGTTGAATTGAACAAAATAATGAATATTCACTTGTTTATTTATTTCAGAAAATGAATCACTTGTTATATATATTAATTTCTATTCTTCAAACATTATGAAGATTTCAAAAGTCCTCAATCGTACTTTTCTTTTTGTTTGTTTTTATCCATATGGATTGTTCGTCTTCGTCAGATATAAGAATGTCTAAAAAATGATTGATTGAGACCGAGCGGTGGACGACGTCAAGAAAATTATATACGAATTATTATGTATATGTGCATGGCAAATCCATGCCTGCTCAGTTGTTACTGGCATAGTGGTGCCATTAGAAAGTCATTTTTCACGCCAATATGCACCTTTCTGCTTGACAGATATATAAACCTTTTAGAATCAATAAGAATATGTCGGAAAAAACGCTTTTTTATGTCAATATATATACAGAACCAAAAAAAAAAAATGTCAAGTCAACCATTGTATAAAAAAAAAGCTAATCTTTTTTTCTTTTATTGAGGTTAACGTAAACTAAAGTTACGTTCTTATGATTAGTACATGTCAAAGATGTTTAGCTATTCTATATCTATAACAATCATAGTTTGTCAATATAGAAAGTTTTTAAAAATCAATATTCTTTATTGTGTCTTTCTATTACATTCAATGCCCTTTTGTAATCTCATACATAAATATATATATATATATATATACAAATGCCACAGACTAAAAATTGATTTTTTTTTCTTTTTTGCGCTTTTCTCTACTTATATTAGCATCTAATAACCAAACTAGCATTGACGACAAGTGTTGAAAGACGAAATGTTTATATATATTCTATTGGAATTTGCAACAACAGACCACCCGGTGATAGTGAAAGTGATGATGGCTATCATCATCAAGCCTGATGTCTCTACTTTTTCTCCTCCGACAATCGTGCTATATGTCAAATGATAATTAGAAAAGATGCTTTTGTATATCCATACGTTCTCTTTCTCAAGCTACTGTTCCACGTGCTAAATAGATCTATTCATTTCTATTCTATAGACGTCATGCATACGTTCCTATTTCTGGGAATCATCTGCTAATACTCATTTAGTTCTAATGACATTACTAACTGAACATAAAAAGCGCATATATATCATCAAAGATTTTTATTTAGATGATTTAAAAAAAAATTAAAAATATTATCATTCATCCTGAAACATATACGATTGGCTAACATCAAATAAAAGAAAGAAGTTGTACCGTTGGGAATTTATATAAATAAAAACAAAAAAACAGAACTTATTATTATAAAGTTCAATGAAGATGAGTATTAGCCATTAAACGATTCGTTGCAAAAAAAAAGAAAAGATGAAAGATATACATTCTCTGGTATATCACTCAAAAAATTCTCATATATTTTTTTATAGCAACCATTCAGATTTTTCTTTCATTATTGATGCATATAAAGTACGTTGATCGCATATATAATATGTACAAGTTAATTTTTTTGACTTATTGTCATCTGTTATTATATGTGTGTGCTTGATACACACGACTTGTCAATCAACAAACATTTTTCTCCGTCTATATGTATGATAAACAGCATTCACAAACGTTCTCTTCGAATGATCAGTTGTAATAATACTAGCAGACACGTTCACATGAACTCATTACATGAATCAACTTATAATGATGATGATGATGATAATGGGAAAGTTCGAATAATAAATGAGCAGGTTGGCAAGAAGTGAAAGCTACCAAATAATAATCGTAAAAGGGCAAAATAAATCGATACGTGTACATCTTTCGACTGGTATTAAATATAAACAATTAGGGGCAAATCCAAATATCGAATGTGGAAAAAGACAAACAGATTATGATGAGATCTGTCTATTGCTTAAAGTACATTGAAGACAGCAAGGTTGCTCGTTTTTTCTTTCTTTCCTATAGTCATTATCGACATAGCCAAATCATACTCTAAACAATTTACCATTAGTAAAACAGGTTATCTTCTCCAGCATTGTTTTTTTCATACAGTCCAAACGTCAATCTAAGTCAATATCGATTTGACTATCATATACTTACTCGTCTTTTTCTTCTGTTTTATTTATCTTCGAACCTGCGGAAGCGGCAACAATTGAAAAGTCTGTTTTCTCATCATTAATACTCGTTTAAGCGGAACCATGCTTATATTCAATTTAACGGTTGTTCGCTTTTTTGAGAATATATATATATATATGCATATAGATTAAGAGAGAAAAAGGAAAGGTGATTTATGAGCACAAAAGTCGTTTGTTCTCAATGATGATGATGATGAATAGACACAAGACAACAATCATTGCCGGCAAGTCTTAAACCTTGCGTAAACTTACAACTTGTCATAAAAAATTTCTAATTATTTCATTGAAAGTTTTCTCATTGTTGCTTTTCTATGTTCATTGAACTTTGTAACAAAAAAAAAACAAAATATACAAACACAATATGTAATATATTATTATTTTTCTTCTTAATATAAAGCGAGAAAAAAACAAAAAAAAAAAAAAAAAGAAGAAAAATGTGACAAAGAAAAAGAAGTGTATGCACGCTATAAGAAGGTCAATTAATTAAATAATAAATACACAACAGAAATTGAACAGGGAACACAAACAAGAAAGAAAGAAAGAAAAAAAAATACTTGCCAAATACTTGAAAAAAAAATATGTCAAATCGAAAATGCAGCCATACTGGTACAATCATCAGTATTGGTCGTTGTCGTTTGTTGTAAACAATTTTCCATATGTTTATTAAGTAATGACATACGTGAAAATGTTTTTGAACATTTTGTACATCGATATTTTTTAATATCCGAATGTGTTTGCATATGTGCACGTAAATTTGAACGATCAGCAAATGCTCGACAACATATTTCACATTGAAAGGGTTTTTCACCTGTATGAGTACGTACATGACCTTGTAATAGCCATGGACGTGAAAATGCTTTACCACAAATTTTACATTTACATGGTAATGTATGTGTACGTATATGCATTTTAAGTGCACCTAATGAATTATATGTTTTGTCACAGAATTTACATTGAAATTGTTTTTTTATTTGTGCTATACAATGAAATTGTTTATGTTTCGATAGTCCACCGAATGTTGAATAAGATTTTAAACAACCATCACATTGATAACGTGAATTTGTTATTGATGTTGGTGGATTTGGTGATGGTGGTGATGATGATGATGAACAAGATGATGATGATGTTGGTATTGATGATAAAGGTTTTTTTATTGATGAATTAATTATTGGTGATGATAATTGACTATTTTTTAACATTTGCATTGTAAAATATTGATAACTCAAATAATAAAGATAGGAAAAATCATTTGTAGACATTAAACGTGGAAATATCATTGATGTTGGCATTGGTTTATGAAATGCTCGATGTAGTTTAGAATTATTTTGAAAATTTTCTTCAATTGAAATATTTTCATCTTCATCATCTTCTGTTTCAAGTGTTGTTTCAGCAGATAAAAGATTTGATATAAGAAAACTTTTACGATTATCGGATTCTATTTCGAAGAACAAAAAAAAAGTTTTTTATTATTTTTTTTTGTTTTTTAAAATAAAAAATATAAAAATTTTTACCAGTCATAGTTTCGTCTTCAACAATATTGCTTGTTGTACTACTCATCATTATTTCTTCTATTTTGATGGAGACGTATCTTATCTTTCTTTTCTTTTCTCCTTCTTTCTCTCTCTTTATATATATATTTTTTCTCACTTTTTATTCGTGCTCTTCTTCTCTCTCTTGTCGCGTATTCTGATAGGTTCTTTCTCTCTGTTGTTGTCAAAGCATATCGCACTGACTCTGGTTCTTCTGCCACTATTCAACCAGTCAGTGCTTAATTATAGATGATCGTAGTGAAGCTTTATTTCCGTTTCTTTTCTCTCGTTATTCCGACATAAGTACGTCATTATTCAGAGAAAAGTGCCAGCTGAAGAGGATAGTGCTGTAATTCTTAGCTGAAATTACTCCATTTGATGTGTACGCGATCATCACATACACATATATATATATAAATAATATATATCTATGCTATTATCGAACCAATGAAAAAAAGAAAAAAATATCTAATGATAATTATAGGATGCACTTGTCGACAACTTGTCCAATGAGAAGAAAGTATGAAATAAATTGTATTGAATTTCTTTAAGGCGCAAACCAATTAGATATATATAATATATAGTCGTTTATCTTATGTATCTATTCATGCATCTTAGTAGTTGTCTTCATTCAATATTTGTTTACGAAAGACAATATATACAACGGCATGCGTCGTACATCAATCTATACGAAAGTCAATCAATCACCTCTCATATCTCTGCATTATATAAAGTTAAAACTTCAAATAAATATAAGAAAAAGGAAGACGAACAAAAAAAAAAAAAAAAAAGACAACGCCCTTCGACACCAATTATAAGCGTGCTTGTTTCGATCATATTATTCGAAATTAAGATAGAAATATTTGTCAAATAAATAAAGTTTTGTTTAGAAAGGAAGACGAAAGTCGTGAACTGTAAATAGATTTACACATAGAGAGAATAATCATATAATAAAATGAAGATTATCTGTTATTGTAATCTCATTGCTTATACTCAATTAAATCTGAATGAAGAACATGACATTTTTTTTCCGTAAAACGATGCTAACTAACGAATCACATTTGAAAAAGCACACATATGCACATATATCTACACGGCAGGTAGCATCGATACAACAGCTAGTCTTCTATCGTCATTAGCTTCATTCGAAGAATGAATTTTCCTTTTTTCTTCATCTTCGTTAGATATGTTCAAGTGTCTCTCGAAAGACAAGAAAACACACCTTTCTTATTTATAATAGAATCACTATATACACAATGGTTGATTTATGCAATCATTGTTGATTTTCGTGTGTATCTCAGCATGATACTTAATTTCGTCATAAAACATGCTGTCTAACTCGATGTTTCTTTCATTATGTTGAAACATCATGTCACATAATTAGCAAGAACAGCAGCTGTATCGACAAATATATTTCTTTTCTTCTGTTTTCAATAGATAAATCCATCGAAAAATAATAGGCCTTATGGAGTTTCATGTCTATTAAAGCTTCTTTCAAATGTTTGTTTGACATTAATTTCCAATAAAAAAAAAAGAACTAAACCAAAAAAAAAACTTATTTAGGATTATATGATATGACTGAATAATATATCGAAATAGATTTGATCATGTTTTGACAGCATTTCTGTCAGTTTTTCAAACGGTCGTTTACGTATGTTTTCATTATTAGAGACAAATTCTTCAATGACGATCAATGTTTATTTCAACAAGCGAGTTGACGTTTTCAGCATAGACACTCAAACAGATATCTTCACTTGATGTTGCTTAGAAATGAAAGATTCAGTATACTTATATAAAAGAATTTCGTAGATTCATGTTAAATTGATTGTCACACTATCGATGGTTCTAAATATCTGTTTAAGAAAAAGATATCAACTGAGATTCTGACTCATATTATAAAACAAGAATTATCCTTAAAAGAACGTCCGAAAAAGTGGGATTAGCCAAAACCGAGCAGAGGGAAGAAAGGAACCTAACACACATATGGACGTTCGGAGCAACTAATACTAGTTGAAGTTAAGACATTTAGGAGACCTAATTAGTACATAGGGAAAGTTTTTGAAAAATAACGGATGCTCTATAGTATGCGTCGCACTTTTATTTTTTATTTTTGAGGAGTTTAGCACTTGTTTGAATTTTAGTTCTGATTTTGCGGTATAAAAATTTTCATTCTCTATAAAATTGTCGAGTTTGTTTTTCAGATAGATATACATATTTCATGCAGGCATAAACTTTATGAAATAAAAACCAATTGAATTGTTCAAGTGTAAATTCTTATTTTTCTACAGAGAAAAAATGATTTGTGTCAGCGTGTACTCATCTAGACTGATGCTAAAAGCTCATCAATGTACACCAAAAGATAGATGACATCGAAATATATTTTTGGATGTATTATAAAAAATTATCTAATCACAAATCAGACTCATACTTATAAAATGCTGATTTTTGTACCATTCTGAGTCGAGAAAAATAGCAAGTTTCTGGAAAACTATTGGTACTTCGAAAGCCTCCATGTCGACTCCAGGAATATTTATGCAAATTGTAGTGATAGAGAAATTAGACGAGAACTTTCCGGAAAAGCTTGAAAAAACTATCAAATCGGGGTGTGAAGCGGGCATTCATTTTACTCATAACATCGCTTGAAAAATCACAGTGAGGAAAAAGAAAATTTTTTTTTCTGAAAAGGTCAATGGTACTTGAACATTTATTTTTATTAATTGGTAGCTGACATTATGCATTTTTTTGTTTTCCATTGTCAGTTGAGTGGAGTTCGTAAAAAAAATGTAAATTATATAAATAGTACTATTATCATGCTAATTTTTAGTTAGCTAATCTTCCATTCTACTTGAAGTTTGTAGCAAAAATTTTAACACCATTAAATAGTTTATACTTGGAAGTGTATGTAGCAATATTTGAATCTTGCAAAAGTAGACTTTCTATTTTTTACCTAATGCTTACTGTGAGGTACATATACTTTTGTGTGTAGCATTGGAATGTAGGTTATCTTAACCAATTTTATTGTCATATAAGCTTCATTCATAACAGTACATGTATATCACGATCTGCCACTTTGAAATTAAAATACTTTTATGAGACGCACAACAGGTTTAAGTTCATAAATTAACTTCTAAGTTTATTATTCATTTAGAAGTTCATTAGACAATGCATCTGAGAAAGGTTCTATGACAGTACAGTTAATATCATTATTTATACACATCGATTTTAATGATCTAGAGACATAATTTGAATTGACATAAAATAATGTACTATGCATTTGTATGTATTCTTGTTTTTATTTTTATTGTAACCAAGAAAGAATATTTTAACCTTTTCTGTTGTTTTAATCGGTCATCATCACATTAACCATAACCAAAGACATCAAATCCAAAATTGAAAATAATAATCAGAAATCTTATCTTTAGTTTTGTTTTTTCTTCAAATTATTATTAAAAATCTCAAGTTATTTCTTTCGTTCACTACCTATGGACATTCCGAATGAAGTCGACATCTGTCTAACTCTTACTTTTCGATTGTGTAAAAAGGTTGACGCGTTTAATCGTTCACGTTTTTATCAAACATGAAATAGATTAGCAAACTCTATCAGTTTAACTCTTTGTATTCCATAAATAGATATTACAGACTATGGTTGATTAATAGTATCCATGTTTTACGAATAGTTAGACGTTAAGAGAGAGACAACTCATGGAAATAAAGAGTAAAAAGCGCTAATATGGTGAAACATGATTCTGACGTCATTGCTGTAGTCATTAAGAAACATATATGACCGATCAAGAGCTTCATTTCATTGTTATAGAATGAGAAAGGGGAAACATGACTCATGTCGATGTACCGGCCGCCTCAGTCCAGCCTGATCATTTAGATTGGTGTCGGTGCCGATAATGAAGAAACCCTACCGGTTCAAAATGTGTCTACTACGCATACAGCAACAAGGTATTGATCTGTTTCATATACATACATGTGTAATCTTTTTCGATCAAGACTTTATCATACCAATTTTGACTGTTCAACGCATGAAAAGGTGTAGGCTTCATAAAAGTTCAAGCTCATCCCTTCAAAAATGAATCCATCCTCATTGAACGTATTTAATTATCATACCTATATCCATGTTCAATAACATAAAGCGATTTTTTTACGAGTTCACAGTATTTCACATTGATTTTGACGCCGAATACTATGCCTTCAGAAACGTAAGCTAACTTAGAACCAGCACCGTCTCCCATCAACATTATTCACATTCATAGACCATTTCAATACTGAACGTGCCAATTAAGATAACAAACTTTGATAAACTTGCAATCTCAACAATGACTCGTTCCATCGATCAGAAAAGACCTTTTTGTGTCACAAAAAATTATTGAAGTCAAATCCGAACGATTCATGGAGAAATCCTCGTATTATCTAGCTCTCATTTCGTTTCAAAAGAATACATGACAATGAGCTATGAACAATCTCTCGAATAGTTGTCTTGAAAAACCTATTCTTCCTAAGGTAACGCGAGTTTTTAGATAGCATAGTAATTTTGGCTTTGAATATGGATCATAAATGCATATCAAGAGTTACGAAAAAATATATGATTTCAAGATTAAAACTGAAATTACTACAAATCTATATGTAAATTATCATTGATAGTTAAACACTGACCTGCCTTTAAATTAAGAATTCTTTAAATTAATTTAAGTGTTCGATTTTGTTCTATGAGAAATATTGACGTTTTTTTCTGGATTGATGATCCACAGTCAATTGGTGGACCGAACTCAATGATTGCTTCAAGTTTTTCATCAATATTAACCGTTGATAGTGCTTATCATCTTGATTTATGATTATTGGATTAAGACAACCCAGAGAATATGATAAGGGTTTCACAAGAAACGGTATAATTTATTCAAGGACAAATTCTAAAAATAAACTTCTACTTTTATTAGATACAAACATTTATAAATAGCATGCTTACAATAAAAACTTTTATATAAGAAACAATCAAATATATAGCATAGAGACCACTGATAAAGATTGACTATTTCTTAAGATTCATCACGGTGTATTATTTGAAAACTGATTTATATTAAGTTGAATAGTAGAGCCCATTTCTACTGATTGATAGAAATTTGAGCACATTTTTATTTATTTGATTGTTATTTCAATTTTTATGTAGTGCTCTACGAATACCATTGATTTTTGCGGTTCCTAAACGGGGGCTTGAATATGTCCTAAGTAGACCTACAAGAATAATAGATATTAGGACTACAGATTTCTTGATTATATATACTTGTTTTTCGAGTGTGTAAAGTCATGTGCTGGAGATATAAAATATTCACCATTACAATAAATAAGCTCACCACTCCATAATGTTAAGTAAAACTTTAATTTTATTGTTCATGAGAAAAAGTCAAGTTACCCTGAATCTGAATCCAGATTCTGATCTTTCCAAAGAAATTGAGCAAACATTTTGTGTGTAGCTTCTTTTGGTTGTTTTTAATAAAACTTCTTTACTAATATTAAAATCTTTCTAAAATATAATTTCAATATAAATAATTTATTAAAATGAAAGTTGGTTGTTTTTACATCAAATAAAATATGATATTCTCGATTTATATGAAAGAATATTCTTTTTTTATCGATAGCATGCCCTCAAGATAGATACATGTGTTCAATTCAAAGAGTTCGTTGAGCAAAATATTTAAATTAATACAAAATTCAGAACTAATTAAAACGATTAATCTTACTCAGTATTGACGATTCCATAATATTTACCTTGTTCCATTACCATATCCTTTACACATAGAGCATATTGAAACAAAAATTGTTAATTTTTGAAAAACAAGAATTATCAATTAATTTTACTTCTGATGAATAATCGAAAGCATCAGTACAAAAGAGAGTATAAAGTTGAAAACAAAAACTTCATATCACTATACTTTTACGTCCATCTCGAAGTCCGAATATGAATTCGACCGAGAACCTATAGTCGCTGCTCAAAACTAAAATACCTGATCAGCGGCCAACATCAGTCAACGGACTATTGAAGACAGTAAGAAAAGAATGGAAAAAATTACTGCAAGAGCTGGTATCGAACCTGATGATTAGTGTGAAAGATCGTGCAGAAGTCCTGATACACTGTTTTGAAGATTATACTTTTTGTTAAAAACAGTTCTAGAACTGTTCATTTCTTTTGAAGAATATTTCATCATTTAAAGAAAATAAACTCTCAGATAATGGTGAATAGGGATTAACAAAAACATTTTAGAATTTATGAAACTTACTATGAAGATCCTATCAATAAATCGATTGAATCAAACTCTTCAAGGCTACATATGCACTAAAATGTTCGACTGTTTGAAAGTCTATATTCTACAGCTTATGAACTTGATCCTATAAAATAAAGATAATTTCGTCGATTGGTATATACAACAATAGATATTAAGGTCAAAAAAAAAGCGAAAATAATGTTCAGAAAAAATTTGATTGTTTATATGTTGCTTTGTTAGTTCAAAGTCAAATTTTCATTGATAAATGAAGTACTAAGTGTCTAATTTCTAATATGTAAATGGCACTGAAATTCTTTACGATCCCGACGTGTAATAAGACTTACAGTATTAACACTCAGATTCTTCAATCACATCTATTCAAGAACAGTTATCACCCCGTAATTTGTAGGAAAACTTCCTCAACTATTGAAAATACTTCAAAAGAAACAGTTGAAATTTGTCTGAATTAAAGTCAATTTATCGATAGGCGCTGATATATATGTGGCAGACGAGTCTCAAATACAAACATAGAGCTTTTTATAGAGGCAAAGAGAAAATATTGGAATGTCTGTGCTGTCCTACACAATAGGTATGACAAAGGCAAAAATAATCTATTGGCACCACTCAAAAGAGAATAGAAATGAGAATACCATTTAAATTTATTCCATTGTTATGGGAAAAAATCAAAAAGTTCTCTCGAAAGTTAAAAGCTAGACATTTAAAAGAATAGAATAGAAGTTCGTTGACTCGCTCGAATTACAAAAATTATAATTCACATGTACTAATAATATAATTCATGTTTCTACATATTTCGCATCTTTTTTTGTCGTGTTCTTTCGTTTACGATTTTGTTAACTAAGTTACGTACATCAAAGAAGATTTGCAGGAGAAATGACGCACGTGCATGCTTCCGTCATACAACAAAGAATGTGTGTAGTATGTTGCTTGTGTCCTTGCTTCACCGTTCTCAAGAGGAAAAAAAACAATAATAATGACGCTGTTCAAAGTGACTCGTGTGTCATTTTCGGTTGATTTCGTTATGAATTAGTGGCGTGATCAAGATTTTGTCTGTAAGGGGGCTTAGCTCCAAGATTTCTGAGTCTTGCTACAATTACGATAAACTTTTTTCTGTTTACAGGTGATTTTACTAGCGGAGCTGTTCGAGGCTATTATAAGTGCGGGGCCAGAGTTTTCTGTATTCAAATTAGTGCATATTTTAATCTAACATTTGAAAATGTGAGAAAAGAGCTCTAATTGACTCGGCATTTTTATCTGAAAATCAAACTATCTCCAAAAGAATTCAACGCAGAAGTTTGTCATATTTTACCGACAAAGAAGATAAGGCTTGTAGTATTTCCTAAAAATTGAAGCCACTGTTCACTTCGACAAGAAATCACAGCTGCAAACTCGTTTTTTTAAACCAAACTACACGGGATTCATGCAAATTGGTAAAAGTTGTTTAACATCTCTGATTATTCTTGAATCACTAAAAATCTGTAGTGAATTGATGTTCTCATCACAGTAGCATTGATACACTAGATTAGATCCAAGCGTGGGTGGTGGAGCTCTAGCTACTCTAGTCTCACCTTACTTACATCAGTATTATCAATAAGTGAAAAAGAAAAAGAATTCCAAACAAACTAAAGGTTATTCATGCGCACACTCTATCGAAGTTTTTTCCTAGGTTTTTTTCGGATACTAAATCGCATTTTTTTCAAGTGCAGTAGTACAGAGATGCTGCCGATCGAGATTTTTTCAACCCATGGGTTCCCATAGATTGATTGAATGTTACCAGATACATAGGTTCTCTTGTAAGTCGTTCATTCATCGTTGTCGTCTTCCAGTTGTAACTAAATTTTCGTTCCATTCATTGGGAAAGGAATATCCTAGCTGATGTTCGGACTTTGAGTTTTAGTCTCATCCCAGCATAGGGAAGAGCATGTGAAATTATACTATATATGCATTGTTATCGATTGATTTGACGAAACCATATAATACAGGAAGATATGATACTTCAAACTTCATTGGTTTTCACACTTGCACCATAGCATAAACTGTAGAATGGCAGAGAAATAGAATAAAAACGACCCTGAAACAACAAAAAATACATTGAATTGAAATAGTCGGAGATGACCAAATGGGGAAAAGTTTATTATCCGAGTACTTTACCTAAAAAATAACTCTTTTTCTTAAGTCATCGAGTTAAAGAATCGCTATTACGTGGGTTGGGTTGAAGCTTCAGAATCAGTCAGAATTGACCCGTGTATTGGCCTAATCAGAATCCAACTATACTGATTCAATTGATACAATGATCTGGTAGCAGATGTTTTTCTCTTCAAACGATATCCTTCATCTAAAATTAAAATTAAAAAAATCAAGAATGATCCCAACAATGTTCTATGCATTCTGGATGCGAAAGAGTGTGTGCAAGGGTAATACATTCGTCAAAAGAAAGCACAAGAGAAATAATATCAATTTACTATGAAAACAGAATCTGAAGATTGGAAACCTCATCTTTATAAGAACATAAATATGTGTATATCAAATAATTCATGTAAATATCGGATTTTATTTGCCAATCTTCAGTGAAATATGTAAAGTATGCCGATATGATCGATATTTCGTAGACGATTATCAGTTGTTGGTGATTTTCTGTCAAATGACATAATTTCGCACACAGTTCAATATTACTTTTGAAGTATTTATCTTTGTATGTAACTAAGTCAATCTTTGTCACAAGAGTATTTTCTTTCCACATACTTCATCTGACTCTTTTATTCTATCGATCTTTATCTTCCCCTAAATCATTATTGATATTAGAAGTATTCACTTTCGTTAATCCTTTATTATAAAACAAAATCCATTCGAAAGAACAAAAGCTTCATTTCTGTATAAAACTATCGAATGATGATCTCTGACAGTCGAACATGGTTTGGCAAAATAACACTGATTTTACTCTATCTATTGACTAAGATTGTAACTTCAAAGAGCTGCTTGCCTCTCGGTCAATTTTCCACAATTGAACCAAATTGGTCTAAATGTTCGGTTCTATCGGATGGTGTATGTCACATTGAAATTCTTTTATTTCTTCACTAAATCATCATTTGATGATTTTTAGACCGAAACAAAAGATAATGTCTATGCTCAATGTATGTTTATCAATGTGCCTATCGATTGGAATGAGGCTATTAATCAACTGGACAACCTGTACAGAAACAATGCAAATTTTTGTTAAACGTTACTTTCTATTAGATTATGAAAATAGTTCTCATCATCTGTGGCGACTACCAGGTAGAATAAATTTCTTTTATTTTTATGAATTCATATATATTTGTTGTTTTTTTTCATTTAGGTGGTGGTGGTCTACCTATATCTGTTATGGAAAATGAAGCTATAAGTATTGTAACAGCACAACATGGTTCAATATCTGTATATGCAACTGACAAACGAAGTGTTGGTCAAAGTAGTTTATTAGAATGTCCTATTTCAGTTATGTCAAATTTTTCTGCTTGTTTATCATATATCGAACAACATCAATATCGTTTAAAACATAATACATTTACAAATACGGCACGTGATTTACAATATGTACTTGATGTTATTATTGGTCATGATCGTCATCATTTAAAATCGAATCAACGTGTTATACTTATGGGATCAAGTCAAAGTACTTATCTTTTACAACGATATCTTCATTTAACAGCTAATAAACAACAAGTTGACGCTGTCATACTCGATTCAATTGTACCAACTGATATAATTACATTGATAGAATTTGATCCATATATTAATTATATCGTTTTGGATCTATTTTCTCGATGTGCTCAAGATAAACAAGGATGTTCTAATAAATTTCAAGATTCAAATCCAGTGCGTGCACTTTATTCATATCAAATGATAGAAGAATTCGAAGGAAATTCTTCCTGTCTTTCCTCATTAAAAACGAATACAATTGAAATGGGAAAAAGGTACAAAAATAAAATGAATCTTCTGTCAATCTAATTGAATAATAAAATAAATATTTCAGATAGCATCTTTACTCTATCCAACACTGATGCAATTAATACCAGCATTGATCTATCGAATTAATCGATGTAATATCAATGATAAAATTGTTATTAAACATTTTCTCGAAAAAACACCATTAATACATGAAACTAGTTTACCAGGACAATCGAATTTGGTATACTGATTGTCATTTAAATTAAAAAAAACATTCCCATTTTCATTTAAGATTGAATTCAACAATGATTTTTCTGAACTTTGGTTTTTTGGCAATGGTAAATACAAATCGGTCTCATGTGATTTCATGAAGGGAATGTCAGCAAATACATTTAGCGCAATGCATATGATGGCAGATATTTATTGTCCTGCTCAAACAGCTGCAGTATTAGGATATCCTACCGATCAATATTATAGAAAATATCCATCAACAAAGACTCGACTACCAGTTTTAATTTTACACGGTACGTAAAAAGAGAAATGAATTCAATTAAAAGAGATAAGCAGATACATCCTTCTAGGTGATATGGATCAAGTATTGCCTCCACCATTAGCTCGACATTTCTACAAACAATATTCTGTATTAAATCCCGATGTAATATATGTTGAATTGCCACGAACAGGCCATACTGCTACGTGTAATAAACATTCATATTTTTCGTATTATCCTTGATTTATTTATAAAACATATTTAGATTCATCACCAATACCAGATCAAGAACAGAGTTGCGGATGGCAAGTGGCGATTTCATTTATACTATCACCAACATTTCAACCCGACACATCATGTCTCAAAAAAATTAGTCCCATTGATTTTGCTGGAACAACTGTCCAAAGCAAACAGATGGCACTAACCTATTTCGGAACAATAAATATGTGGAACTAATTCGATATGATATAAAAGACATAAATAAAAAAATTTATTTGTTGAAGATTTATTGACAATGACTCGAGCAAACATTGAAGAGGGAAACTTGTTGGAATTGTTGTCAGACACTGATGGTTCTTTATCAAGATTTGTACAAACTTCTACAGAGTCTTTTAAATAATTTATATGAAAATCTCATACATGAAATCAACTTAGGTGAGTTGAGAAAAATAGAAAATACCCGAAAAATCATGGATTTTTTGAAAGTGTTTATGTAGGATTCAGAAACATTTATGCTAATTGTAATGATAGAGGAAATATGAGAGAACATTTTTGAAAGGTTTGAATGTGTATCAAATTTGGATGTGAAGGAGACACTCATTTCACTTATAGAATAGTTTGGAATATTACCGGGGAAAAGAAAATTTTATTTATAGGAAATATCAGTGATAATTGAATACTTACTTTTATAAATTGGTAGCTGATATCATGCAAATTTATGTTATGTATTCTTTTCGGTTGTCGCACTCTACTTGAGTATTTTTTGCAAAAACTTTGATGCCATTAAATAGTTCATAGTCCAAAGTATATGCAATACTATTTGAGTTTTGTAAAAGTAGGCTTTCGGCTTTTGATCTAATATCTACTTGATTGCCCACTGTAGACAGTTTTGTTGAAAATAAAATTCTCTATTTACGTCAAAGATAGAAAACTAAAATTGGTCAATTCATTAAAGGACATTGGTTACTCTTTCATTTTAAGAAAAACTTTACAATTTTTCAAAAGAACGACTTACTGACTTTATTAGCGAGAGAAGCTTTTCATTTTAGCAGCAGATTCAGGATCTCTGGTTAGATGTCTTTATAGTTAATTGATCAAGTGATGATATTTTTTTTCTCTTTTTCCTTCCTTATAGAGAATATCTATAATGAATCATCAACCATGCATTTCTTTAGTATCTGTCGAATATACAAGTATCATTGAGCGATTTTGTTTTTAATTCATTCTTGTTCTTTTTTGAGTCAACTAAGTTGGATAACCGTATTAGTTTACTCTAAATTAATACAACACGAATGACAAATATACTTCTACTATTACTATCAAGTTGACTTCAAATAAAAATTCAAAGGTGAAGGCGACGTTGAGGGTAATATCTGCCGTTAATTTCAGTATATTTCTGTTATTTATAATCACCAACATAAAATGTAAGATTTTACCTATTAATTGATATAAAAAGAGGACAAAAATTTGACTACTAGCAGAGAAAATTCAAATAGCACACTTCGTGTGACATGCTGATCTATTGATAATGAGATTTCAGCTCTCCGTTTCAGATTATCATTATAAAAATATTTCTCGAGATAAAAGTCTAACTATAATCGACAGTTTATATTCTTCACAAATACTTTCAAGCGAGAGAATTTTTTTTCTTAGTACTTTGTGTACTGCTTATCATTAATAAAAAAATAATATGATACAAAATCACAATGAAGTCCTGAAGAATTTTTTCTAGGTCTCCGCGTTATTCTCTTCTTTTCGAAATACTTGTTAAAGAAATCAAATGAATAGTTTTTTTTTCGATTCGAAAATTCTGTTGAAAATTGATGCAAAATAAAGAGCTGTTTTCTTCATCACTTATGCGAACAGATAAAAAAAAGACAGAACTTAAGGAAAACTTTAGTTGAGTCGAGAATTATTCAGAGTGACATAACTTCGTGAGGTTTTGTTTTTCTTCAAACTACTCTTATTTGGTCGTCAGCACAAAACTAGGCTTATCATTTTCTTTTCAGCCTATGAAGTGTTGTAGCTCTTGAGAAAAATAATTCCTTTAAAAGCACTATCAAAAATTCAGTAAAATCAGTGTTTTGCTCATAAAATCTACAATTTTTGTTTAATATTTATGAGCGATATGTTATTTGAATGAATACTAAAGACTGAACAAAAATTTTTTTTTTTCCAAAGATTTCAAAGTTGACGTCTTTTGATAAAATATCAACATTTTCAAAATTTGAAATTTTGAAGCACTTTAAAAGTCTTGACCATTTGAAAGCTCGGTAACAGGAGAAAACTTAATACACCTTGGAGTTATGGCAATTCTGTATAAGACAGGAAGAAAACTTATTCGAAAGAAAGTGTATGTCACGTCCAAAAATCGTTTACAAAGAAAAGAGGTCACAATAAAATTTTGACAAACAACGTCTGAGAGGTGTTTTTTAATTTTTTATTGGAACTAAAATGAAAAGCAAACTTGGTACCACGTAGTAACGAGCATGAAAAATTGAGTCGAATGATGAATATTTTCGTAATTTCTCAAGAGTGTCTTTCCGATACTCTGCTTCAGTGTTGGTGTTAAACTGGAACAAAATCGTCTTCAGAGATATATCGAAGCATATCTGAAGAGGTACAGAAAGACCGGTTAACGCAGAGGATTTCAAAATGTTTACTCCCTCCAGCTTTTTCTTACTGCTAAAGCAGCTGTTGATTAGTCTTCTGAGGTCACTTTTGCAAATGAATAGCACATTTTCTATTTTTTCGCTCGATTAAGTGCGAAATGGTACAAACTCTTCCCAAGGATAAAAAATCTGAACAAAGACGATTCCCATTACGTTGATTGGTAAAAGGAAATAGAAGGAATATTTTAGTAGGACCTGTGTAAGGCAGTATGAACATCTTTAAATTTGTCCACAAATATGATCTCATGGATTACAGAATAGACGCCTAATCACCTCGGATCTTCGGTTTTGTAAGACGTTTAAGGCAAACCAGTGCTGTGAACATACATAGTTTTCTTACTAATCGTCCAAATGAATATCTGACGCATTCATCTAACTGTCTATGTGTGGATTAGCATTGAACCTGAGAATGAATGGTATATTCCATTTTCGCCGAAAAAACTTTTCGCCGAAGACGAATTTCGCCGAAAAGAAATTCGCCGAAAAGAAGTTCGCCGAAAAAAAAGTTCACCGATTCTATTTTCGCCGAAAGAACTTGGTCACCGAAAAAATATAAGTTGAGCTTGATCATGCATATAACAATTCTATTGAGACAATTAATCGATCCTATCAAGTCAGTCAAATCNCAATGGTCTTGAGATGCTAAACACACATTTTATTTCCATTGTATGCTAGATACCTTACGAACAGGAAATACGTGTCCATTATGCCGACATGCGGTTGAAGCAGCGGATTTGCCCAGTACAGAAACTGTGGTTCAGTCCATCTTAGGGACAATGATGCCTAATTTATTCACTTGAAAATACCGTACTTCCTATCAATGTATCTTTTCATGAAACAACACCTTCAGTGCGTTTATTCCAATCAGAGATGTACGAGGTAGTCAAAAAATCGTTGCACCTTGACAATGACCTAGCATAGAAAAAAATGCTTTTTAAAGCATTCTTTTCAACCTTATATAACAATTACTATTTGTTTTATTTCATAAGATTCAATAAACTAGTACTTTTAATATATATATATATATATAGGTTCAACAAACCAAATACAAAATAGGTAATGAGACCAACATGAATAACTATGATTTATATAAATTCAGTGGGCAGAGGACAATAAACGATAAGTGAATCAGTAAGTGAGTATATAATTGCCACACAACACATTTAAATTTTAATAAAAATCGATAGATTTTTTCAAGCTGTTGGTGAGCACGCCCACCATCATCAGAAAACAATACCAATAAAACAAAATATAGAGTACTGTTAGATTTATAAAAATTTGATTAAGTTTTTTTAATAAGATAATGTAACTGAAGACCCCTTCAGAAAATCTCTTTTTTCGAAAAGTAATCGAATTCGAGTTTTTATTATAGGAAGATAGGATGTGAGTCCACCTTTTACAGGTCCACACATACACTCTCTCATAATAAATTAGCTACTTTTATGTTATTTTCCAAAAAAAAACTAAAATAACGGATAAGGCTATTTAATAAAAACACAATTTTCTCGTTTCCTTTTGTATATTTATTATTTATTTGCCCTGCTCTTTTCTTCATCACACTGTTAATTTGTCTTGATTTTTATTCAATCACACCCTCACCCATCAAGATTTTTTTATCCTTTTATTTTCAAAAAACTCATTTCTTCTACTTAGATACAGCGAAATAGGATGTCAATTTTGATGATGTTCAGCGAAAATTTTCGATCTTTTTGATTTTTTAACATCTATAACTATGCATTAATTCTTGAAATATATCGGACAGAAAAAAGACACTTCGGGACATATATAGACGAGAAAAAAATCAAACAATTTTCGGTTGGAAAATAGAAAATAGGATGTGATCTTTTTACTTTACTACAAAATAACGTTCTTAGGGTTCATTTTCTGCTATAGTAGTAATAAATGAAAGATTTCTGTGAAACACAAATCTATAAGAACTCTTGTTGCAACACTGAATAACAGCTGTATTGTGCTTCAACGTATAATTCTACAGGGATTGAGCAAACAATTTCTATATTCATCTATGAGGTTTTATCTATTTGTTTAAAGAAAAATGTGATATTAAAAGATAAATAAAATAAAATAAAAAGATTTTTCGAGGGTAAAGTTTCCTGTCAAAGAGGCACAGCACTCACGACTTGTGCTATCAAATATCAATAACATGAAACAAAAGGTCGTCGTTTTTCTTTTATTAGTATTATCAACTTTTTTGATATCAAATAATTACTAAACATCTCATATTTCGTTTTTCTTTCTTTTTAGTATCTTAGAACCATTTTCCATTGTTTTTTTCGTCAATCATTTACTTATTTTATTCCAGCATATAATGTTTGACCCCAAAATGATTTCTCTTTTGATCATAATTTCTATGGCACATTCAGTTTATGGTTCATATCACTATGTTGGTTGTTATACACAAGTATTTTATAGTAGTTATTTCATAAGTTCGTATATGGAACCAACATTATGTTTTCTTTTATGTGAAACACCAATTATTTATATACAAGACAAAATTTGTCGATGTTCAGGCAGTAGTCTTATGGATCATAATCGACAGAGAAATGAACACTGTACAATACGATGTAGAAAGCCAGGTGATCATCAAGCTAGAACAGCTAGTACATGTGGAGGTCGAGAAACATATTCAGCGTATGCTGAAGCAAAATTTTATACTCAACATGCTCATTTATTTAACTATCGAATTGAATTTACATCATGTGAATTATGGAATACTTCTGGTTATTATGATACATTACAAGTTAAAATTGATAAATCATCTGTTAAATCTCCATTGAATAAATTGGAACAATGTGCAGCTGCATGTCTTGATCAAAATGCCACGACAAAATCAATAGGTACAAGAAATATATAGATAACGAATAATCATCGAATAGTTTTCTCATATTCATAGAAAATCGAATCTTTTTTAATCATAACTGTCTATCGCCAAGAGAGCACATTAAGTACTGTATGAATATCTGAACAGTGCACTGTACATTTTTCTTATGGCAGACAGACAGATAACTTTCCTTCTTGGAAACGGTGTTCTCTGTTGCCCAGACATGATTTCATATAACTCAAAAAATCACTGCCAAAAAAATCAAGAATTTTTCGACCAAAAAGAAAACATCTGAGAAGCTGCCTTGCCAATTTCCTTATAACATGTCTCGTACCATACGTCATGCGATATAGTTTCGCACACTAGTTTGAAGTATTTCATTGATTTATTGAAAGAGATACTTTGGTTATTGAAAGAAAATGTTTGTGTAGAAAAAAAAGTGATTTTTAGAAAACTTGCTTCTAGGACTCAAGAGCTTTTATGTTCATTGTCACTATTGGAGATATCGAATATGGATGCGGTTCTTAAGGGCTCGTGTTTATTTTACTGAGCTGAGCCATTCCGAAAGCTAAGATGGAGACAAAACGCTTCCAAATCAATTCTTTTCGTCCGATTTCATCAATTGTAGTACCTAGAATAAACAGACAAAAAATTTGATTAGCTTATTATGTAAGTTAGTTGGATTCACATTCACACAGTGTGCTGTTTTAAAATACCTTTGTATTATCAAGGCTTAGTACTTTTTTTTATCACAATTCAAAATAATCTTATTTTTAAGTATTCTTCGCATTTATTTTTGTATACGTTTTATTTTGCTAATCAACTTATTTGTTTTTCTGTCTCCTTACAGAGTGTAACCAACATTATTGTGTAGACTATACTTCTTCATTAAATACGTTGATAATTTGTTTCCGCTCATACTTAAGCTACTTTTAAACAAAAAGAAAAAGTTCTTTACGGAGATACGACATTTATTAATAGAATTAAAACGAGTATTTTCATCAATATGACTCTTTTTATTAGTAAAAGTAACTTACTTAAACGATTGAACTAGATCAATTACAAGTTTCTGATGAGTTTATGGGGAATCTTGAAAAGTAGAAGAAATAAAACATGACTGTTACATATTCTTAAAATCAAACATTATATTGATACAGAAAAAAAATTCTAATATTCGCATAGTAAAAAGAATAATGTTCATTTCTAGTTGACATCTGAGAAAAACACATCTGCGTACTTTTAAAAGCCTCTGCTCTGTAACTGAGAAATCATTCTCGAAAGATAACAAATTTTTTTGAACAACTCATCTGAGAGAAATGAACTGTTAGAACAGATCTTTTAATAGCGTGTGATTTCTCGGAACAGTTGCTTCGCTTATTTGATCTGAATTGTAAATCAGAGAGTGGTCAGCTTTTTCTAGTATTCAGATTTTTTAACTCTTTTAAATAGCTCTTACATGAAATAGCTTTACTCTATTATTATATTGAAAAAAAAAGAATAATAGTATGTAATTTCTAAAAATGATTATAAAATCTGAAAATTTAATTCTAGCTTTCAATGGTGATGACAATCAATGCTTATGTATAATGCCCGGAAAATTAAATACAGATTCTGATGGTGCACTTTATTTAACAATTTTACCAAATAATAGATGTGATCATTATTGTGATAATACATTGGACGATTCCAAAGTTAAACATAACTTTAAATGTGGTTCATTAACAGATTCACATATATGGGCTATATATGGTTTAAATGATTTATGTTTGAGGGGATCCATTTATGTAAAAGAATCAAAAAGATGTATGTTTGCGTTTAAAGGATTTTCTAGTTCATGCCCATCACCATCAATGAAATATGTTTTTGATCGAAAGGTTACCTGGAATGTCTTTCTAAAAATTATTGAAAAATTAAACTTAACTAAATCTATTGTTTCAATTGATTTTGATAACGATGTTACTATTGATCCTTCATGGAAATGCCCAACAACAATAACTACTACCAATATACGAAATTCAAATCTTTCTAATACAAATTATTTTAATAGGAATTTTAGTACATCTTATGTACTAGATAACGGTTGTTTACGTGTACATTCCAATTCCTTGTATTTACATATATTATCAAATCATTTATGCATAATAAATCCTATGAATGAAAATTCATTATTATATGGTAGTGGAATTCATTCAATTTATGTATCAAATTCTAATTCAATGGAAACTATTTGTCCACCACATTGGTTTGATATAAACACACATTGTTATCGGATATCGGACGACCGTAAAACAATTCAAGAAGCAAGAAATACTTGTATTAGTTTGTCAGAAGCCCAGGAAAAGAATAATAAAGAAGAAATTATAGCAAATGATGATGATGATGATGATGATATGAAGAAAGAAACGATTAATAAATACAATAATTTAAAAAATGATATCCTTAAAGGTGAAATCGCTCAGTATACATCACAATGGCAAGTTCGTCTTGGCTTCTTTCTTCTAGACACAAGTAAATTTTTCGAGAGGAATTTTGTCGATTTGTTTTTCAAGTTGTTGTTCATAGCTGAGAGAATCCTATTCATTGATTAGTGGAATAAGTAATAGACAACTGAGATGATTATGTAATATATGAGCAAACATCTTAAAGAATAGAATTTGAAGAGCTCAGTTCGATTCCCATGTTGCATATTTCTTCACAGTAGTGTTGATATGTCATTCAGAAAACAATCTAGAACACTAGCATCTTCTTTTTTATTGTTTCTCTACGAATTTATTAAAATATGTATTCCTTATTCTATAAATTAAACAGAAAACTAATCCGTCTATTAAAAACAATTCCTATTCACATTGTCCGTAGATATGAATATTTGAAAATATTTCTATTAGAAGACTCTTAATTTTAGAATGAAAAGTACGACAAAAAACTTAAAGCTTCAAATATATAAAGAAGGATTTTATGGTAAAAAAACGAATAGTTTTCATAGCGAAACGAAAACACTTGCGATCTGACAACCATAAGTTATGATCGAGAAATTTCCAGTATCATATAGAACCTAATGAGCAAGAACATACTATAGATGATTTCTAATTATAATTGAAATGATTCTTTCTTAGATGTATCAAATGTTGAATCAAAACCTTCACCATTTCGCCCATATGTTGAACCATTGTCATCATTAGTGTTCAATGTTGATATCAATCTCTCATCTATAAATGAATTTCAAATGATTAATCCAAATGAAGATAATAATTCAAGCATAAAAGATGATTCATGTTTAGTTCTGACACGTTCAGTGATTGACGAAAAAAGAAGTTCTATTTTAAACAATACTCAAATCAATAATTGTTCAAAACCAAGACATGTTTTATGTAGAACAATGACAGTGCTTGGTTTTAATTCTCAACAAAGCTGTTATAGTAAACCATTAACACTTGGTTTACCAGCAATGATATCAAATCATTTAACATATGAATTATGTTTATCTGTTTGTAGAAAATTAGAAACAAATTTAGCTGTTATAAATATAAATAAATGTTATTGTTTCAATGCTGCTGTTTCACAGATGTTTGATATTCAAGGAAATCATGCAAAATATAAAACAAAAGAATGTGGAAATCCTTGTCCGGGTATGTCTAACAGATGAATATTGATGTGTTTCTTTTCACAAATCATTGGAACTATATTTCAAAATTTTATTAGTGAGAAAAAAGACTCAAGATCGTGTTTTAACAATAATGAAATGATGTGCGATAATGTAAATTTTCTTTTTTTGCCATTTGTTGTTGAGAGACTCTAGTCGTTCGATAAACCTGCAAGTTGCAATAGCCATTAAATACCAAAAAACGTGAAAACTTCTCTCGTATGTTTAGAGTGACTATCCAATTCCGAGCAGAAAATTTCATTGAATACTGAAGTAATGTTAGACATGTTTGGGTAAAGGAACTATAAGTTTTTCAATCATATTTGATTACAGAACACGATATATGTAGCCTTTCAGCAATAGAACTTCTCTAAGTCGTGTTGTATGCATTGTCAATTTCTACTTCATACGGTGATATTTCAATTTTTGGCCCAATTTTTGTCGCAATCATAACAGAATGTGGTGGAGGGGGCATCAAATGCTGACATATCGACGATGTGGTCTAGAACTTCACAACACATACGCCATGAAATACAGAATTCATGTCTCAAAGCCGATATATATATCCTATTCTGCGATTAATATACTACAACCAACTTTTACTTAATCAGATTCGTGTCCTAAAAGCATTTTATAATCTAGTCGACGTCCGAAACCTACGAAACTGAACGACTCTACTATGAACATTATTATTAACAGATTAATTTTTCATCTATCGATATATCTGATAGAAAAAGTTATAAATTCGTAATTCTTGTGCTATTTTCTTTACTTTCTTACTATAGAAATTAATTGTCCATTTTAATTCGAATTTACTCATATGCGTGATTGAGTGAATGACTATACCCACGTCTATATAATTATTTACAATTTTAGGTAATCAACATGAACGCTGTGGTAATACAGATAAGGTCGTTGTTTTACATATACGTAAAGATCTAATTTCGTCCACATATTTTCAAACTCATAAACGAGCTAAACCATATCCTGATTTCTTTTATGATAGTTGTATACATTTAAATTCTGTCAATCAATCGTCAATATATCAATTCAATTTAAACCATAAAAATGATGTTCATCCACGTCATTGTCTAGAATTATGTAAAAACTATAAGCAACAATATGCTCTTCTTAACTCAAATAAATGTTTATGTACGAATATCCTAACGAGAAAAAAACAATATAATATGTTAATACCTTCAGATTATAATTGTACTCAAGAATGTCAAGGTAATTACTTTTATACATGTGGAAATACAAGCGATTCAATGATATATTCGATGTATGTCATGCAACCAAAATGTCCTCCTCGTAAGAGAATAAAACATCAAAATTTGTTAATTAAATAGGAAAAAAAAGAAATTTTCTTACTTTTTTAGATTTTCAAGTTACTGAAGATGAACAACGATGTGTACATACTGATTTTTCAGCACAGAAAAATTCTTTATCAATTGCACAATCTTATTGTAAATCTGTTGGTGGTATGCTTGCAAAAATAAATGATATTTTAGAAATTCAAGATATAGTAACCCTATCAACACTAAATGTACGTTATTTTGGTGGAGTTTCCATTTCTTATTCTCCAAGTATACTTAACGATACAAGATTTTTTTGGATTGATCGTACATCGGATATCATGAATAACAATCAAACAACAGATCGTTCTATTGGAAAATGTTTTCAAACATCAAAATCAATTGATCGAAATTGTATTGTTCTTCGTCGCGAAAAAATTTTCATGAATAATATATTGACTTATGAACGGTGTTTTACTGAATCAGATCAATGTTCATCAATATCTGCTATGCCAGTTTGTGTTGATAAACATCTAGAATTTAATTCAACCGCAATTCCTCCAATAATAGATAACGATTCATCAAGCATTTTAGTTAATATATCAACAGATTATTCATGTGGTGATGATACAGATTATCATCTTATGAATGACTATTGTTATAAAGTATCCTATCACGAAACTACTTGGAATGATGCAAAAACTGGATGTGAACGTGATAATGCTATGTTATTTCAACCTCGAAAATTAACGACACTGTCCTTGATAAAATCCTTATTTTTACGTCGGCATAGTTACACATCATCTGGTATTGTACATATTGGTATTTTTTATGATAATCGAAATCGTACTGCTACGCGATATAAGACAACTGGAGGAAGTGCTTTACCAAGTGAACTAGATTCCATTGATCTTCATTCGTTATGTAAAATAGAATTTCATCAACATTATGAAAGGCTCATACCATCACCAGTCTTATCACTGAACGAGAAAAATCGTCCAAAAACTCAGCAGATTCGTTGCGCATACGTTGATTTTCGATCTGACTACGGACCATTAATTGCATGTAATGAAATATCTTGTAACCGACTAGCAACTGCAATATGTCAAAAATCACCAATTGTAAAAATACGTGCTGTCGCTGCAAAACGGTTAGTTTATCAATACGATGCTTGCGGAGTATAATTAGATTTTTCCTTGCTAGCAATAAAATTTGTTTAAATAAGTGCGAAGTCCTCACAAAAAAAAAAGAGAATTATTCTGGATATCGGCAGAACATGGTGTTGCAGAATATTTTGTATGATCTTCAAGACAGTAAATCATATATTAGCAAGTATTAATTAATACAATCAATAAATTTCGTGAAGTAGAGATGGGCACATTAAACTTTTCTCGTAAATCGTTCTTTGAACGAGGTAAATTCCCTCATTGAAATCGGATAATCTTCTCGAAGATACAATACATTTCTTTCCGTCCTTTTCCATTCGATAACTAGAATTCAGTGGGTTCAATAGCCTGTTCGACGACGTTATCATGTCACTCTGTTTTAATTCTAACCTAGTTGAATAACTCTAATAGTAGTAGGATACAGATAGGCAAGGTACGCTCTTTTCGTATTGTGTACCCTAACTGACAAATTTTCTAGTCCTTATTCTATGCATGTCTATTGTTGAGAATTGCATATTGAATGTTAACTTCTCCTTCTATCGATAATCTGCAGTTCGCCATGGATTTAATTCGGATGAGCACATGCTATTCTATTTGTTTCAAGCAGTTTCATCATGATAGATTTTGATTGATGGTACGAAACGTCTGTCTCGAATAGTCTTCAATGAAGAATTATATTGATTGTTTTTATTTCATACTCGATGAACATCTTTTGTAAAGCGATTTTTATACTACTCTAACGACCCAAGTGATCTGACTGTCCATATGAAAAATAATATTTATGACGGGGCGCCATGGTCATATTTCTATTCATACTACAAAAAAGAAAAAACATATCCGTTATTCGATTTCGTTCGAAATAACGAATTACTTTCATGAGCTTTATAACATGTTTTTTTTTTTATTTATTTATAGTGATTTTACAAACTTCCCAAGACAATTGACTGATAATGAATCAAATTTTCAAAAATCTACAAAATTTATAAGCAAAAAGTTCATATTAATTTTCTTGATTTTTTCCATTATATTCATTCTTATACTCTCTGGATTTATATATATATTACGCAAGCGTGATTTAATGCGAAAGAACAATAATATACTTCATACAAGAACACTTAATGATGAATCTGCTTATTCTCAATTGCTAATCAGGGATGAAGTTAATTTAAATTAGACGCATTTTTATTTTATATTCATTACGTTGCTATTTTATTGATAATCTTCATTTGAAATGAAGATTTCTCCATTGATTCTTTTGTTTTTGATTTTGTGAACACATTAAATAAATTAATTCGTTTTTTTTTGCACTTGTCATATTATTTTACTCAATATTAATAATAAAATAAAGTCACAGACAACTTACAGAAAACAATCAATTATGGTAAAGAGAAAAAGAAAAAACAGCGCATTTATTACAAAACATAGTTAGCGCAGCCTCACTGCGGCTGAAATGAAGAGCTCACGTTTTCTTTATCTTCATTATACCAATACAAAATACAAAAATCGTAAAATCTCTAAAAAACGATAGCTCTTTTCCCATGAGAATCGATTATCAACAAACGCTGTCTTTTTTATTTCTACATTTTGAACAGAAACTTGGTTTTTTTTTACGGACGCCCAATTTTTGTTTAACTTAACATTTTTATTATGATAAGCATTGGATTAAATGACAAATAAGTCTATTAAAAACATGAGTCATCCCACGTAAGCCACGGGTGGCAGCATAGAGAGTCTCTGTTCAATCTACTTCTTCAGATTTTGTTATAATTAGGTTATTTTTGTAGAGCAAACATTAAATTTTCAACTCAAAATATTGAGCCCTTAATTTTTGATGACTCATCTAAAATAGACTCAAATTCACATTTTAGGCGACTTTCCTACTTCATGACTCATGACAGCAATAAGATACTGGTCTGAAAGTTTCACTAGACCTAGAGTTAATAGTGATGCATATCTTATTAAAATTTTGGCTCTACATATCCTTCCTTCCGATGAGTAGAACTCTCTTGAACATGGACTTTTGATGAAAATCATAATTTTCAGACGAGGTTTTCTCCCTACAATGGAATAGCTTGAAGACTGAGCTTAAAAATTTGAAAGAGTCATCTGATGTGTACAACTTCATGGCACAGCCAGTCTCGGTCATGTAGAAAGGGTGTGGGTGGTTGTAGACGTGGCTGTGGAGTATGAATATGTTCGGATGTTGGTCAATAGCAAATAGACACCAATACCCCACACCTACAACCACATATCGGCACTGACACCGACGCATCCACACACACTCGACACCCTTTATGTGAATACAATTGTTGACAATGCAAAATAAATGTGAGAAACCTATAACCACTTACACTTTGCACCTTCACATTTTCACTCATACTCTAAGTATTATAGTATATCAGGACCAGGGTTGTCGATTGTTTTGAAATGCGGGAGGGGCAAAAAATTCGCCAGAAAGTCGGGGAATTTTGGCAGAAAGTACCTCATTTTACCTGCTGCTAGCAACCGAACAAGTAATGCTAATTTTGTCAACTTTCTGCGAGATTTTGTTGAAAAAAAAGTGTTTTTATTCGATTTTCTGCCAGAAAAATGGCAAAAAGTGCTTAAAAACCGGATTTCTGCCAGGATTTACAATGAGACTTTCTATAATTTGGCAGAAAGTGTCGGAAATTTTGGCAGAAAATCGGGCGTGTTTTCAATTTTTCGTGGGGGAAATCCCCCCTAATCGGCAAGCTTGATCAGGACTCATAATTTGGTAGTCTGTTGACTTTAGACTTATTAGGATAAGCACTGCATAAGTTTGGGTTTGTGATTTGATGCTATTAGGAAGTAGAATGTCCTGAATAAACATGAGAGGTTTGGATTTTGAAATCGATACCATGTTGGCGTTTTTGGATATATAAGTTGCTATTCGCAAATGCTGACTAAGGTTGACGACGAGTAGTTTCGACACAATGAAACACTCAATTCATCTCACAGTTTTTCTCGCATGGTGTGTAGTTACAACTGCTATGAGCATGAACAATGAAATTCAAAATATTTCTATTATGGAAGATTCCATTCAACGTGACTTTCCTGTTGCTGCTGCTTCCTCGTCTCAAAGTCTGGCAAAAAATAACACTGGTACAAGCTCCGCAAATGCTGTTGTTAACACTTATGTATTAATCGCCTGGATTGAAAATAAACTGTGAACAACTATTTAGCAATCAATAGTAGATTTTTTATTAGCAAATTTAAAAAAATGAACTTTGTTTGTGGAATTAGTATTATACCTGGTGTATTAAAAATAGTAGACTTTTCCCTTGTGCCAGTCATATTTGAAAATAGTTTATTTTGGACAAAAATTAGGTGAGAGTAATTTTGATATTCATCTAACATTGGTAAATAGCGACGAAGTAAGCATAAAAAGTGGAGATTCTTTTTCTATAGATGGGTGTGGATGGTGGCAAATTTGTTATTTACACACCACACCCACAACCACATCCATTTTTAATGAAAAAAACCTCGAAGGTTAATAAATAATCTCACGAAGTCGAAGGCTACTAAAAACGTGTAGAAGAAAATATTTGTTAGCTGCTCAGATTTTGAAAAGAGATTGGTGAGTAGCCTTCAGTAAAATCTTTATATCTTTTGAACGGAAACAGTTATTGATCTTGGTTTTGTGTAGATCAATAGAGGAGAAGTTAGGCTACCTGCCAATTATATAATAGTTAGGAAAGTTTATTGTTTTCAAAACTCATGATGTATTCAAGGAGAATAACGACTGGAACTTTTCATCGACTTTGTAAAAAGATAGAGCAGCGTCGAATCTAGATAGTACAAAAAATTTGGATCACTTCTTTCTTTTTGTTTTCAAGTTATTCAAAAAATGTCCGCGACCATTTAACGTTGAAATAGACATTAATTTAACCATCACACATCCTAACCAAACAGGTCTTATTGAAACTTTATTATTATGATACCCTAGTCCCAATCCTATTAATTCTTTGAAAAAGTCTGAAAGGATCTATCAGGGGTCTGCATCTTAAAAATCTTCTTAAATTTTATTCAGGATCCTGTATTGAATCCTAGTAATTCCTGCTGAGGCGATCTCGATAATTAAACATGATCCTTTTCAGAATTTGTTCAAGTTCCAGCTTAGGTTTTTCTCTAAATTAAGGATGCAGGATTCTGTCAATATTTTATTAAGTTTTAGTCAAGACTCATTCTGAATCATGATATGAGGATTTAGTCAAGATTTATAGTTATACTAGAAGAAGATCTTAACCAGAATAAATCTAGATTTGTCAGAATACTAAATAAATAAATCCTGACAAAGACACAGCTAACCATGATCAGAATCTTGATAGGAAAATAGAAGATTCTACGTAGTTAAGAATTTTGCAGGTTTGTGTTTAGAGTGTAATCAGAATTTGATTTTCAGGATCTTATCAAGATAATAATTGATTCTTTTCGGAGAACTTACAAATAAAAATATAAAGGTTTCATCAGGGTTTTAGCTGGTTTTTGTTCAAAATTTGTAATTGTTTATATCATCACACGAATTCTCATACCAATGTTAAATAAAAATCTCAACAGTAATAAATGAAAGAATTTTTCAAGTTTTTATTATGTTTTGTTTCGAATCTGACAGAACTCAGGAGTCTGCGAAGGTTTCATCCTGATCTTGATTGGATCTTTGTATAAACAAATAGTGCTTCTAGCGAAATCTCGGAAGATTTTATTTTAGACCTGAAAAAGATTTTTATTTGCACTTGATTTGAGATTTAGTTCAGTAACACCAGTTATTTTTTGTGATTTTATCCTGAAAGAGAATTTAAAGAAATACTAAATTACGGTATTAATTTCAGTTTAATTATCGCACCAAATTTTTTTTTGATTAAACAGCTATTTTCAGTAAGAGACGAATCATTTGATAAAAACTGTTCGTAGTAGTTTGGATTATGTGTAGAAAAAATTGGAAATGAATTTTTTGAATTGAATTGAAACTACAAAAGAAAGTGGTGAAATTTTGTAAA